GGACGCTGGGTCTGAGGGCTAAACCTTAAACCTTAAACCCTTGAACTCCGGTCCTTCTCGTCCGGCTTAATCCTCCCACCCTCCGCACGGAGAAGCCGCTCAAAGGCCTGGGTGGGCTTCAGAGAGAAGGAATGGATCAGGGCTTTAGGGTTTAGGGTTTAGGGACGATCTAGGGTTTAAGGTTTAGGGACGATTTAGGCTTTAGGGTTTAGGGACGATTTAGGCTTTAGGGTCTAGGGGGTATTCAGGGTTTAGGGTTTAGGGACTTTTCAGGGTTTAGGGTTTAAAGGGACGATTTAGGGTTCAGGCTTTGCTTTCAGGGTCGCTGTAGGAGCTACTGCCGCGGTTCTATTGTCTATGGTGGGTACTTGAAGCACTTAGGGTTTAGGATTTGGTGATTCGGGTTCAGGGTTCAGGAGGGTTCAGGAGTCGCGATTGCACCCATCATAATCTGGGCCCTCTGCATTCTGAAGCTCGCTCAGCGCACGACCCAATACCCGATTTTTTTAGTCTGACGCGAACCTGCTACAACAAGCCAGGCCGAGATTTGAACCTGAAACTTAGATGGAAACATGACTAGTCAGTTCAACCTCTTGTCAATACCGTGCCCTAAGCCCGAATTCCTTGAGGTTGTACGGCCTAAATAAACCCCAGTTGTAAACCCTTAAACCCCAAACCCTACACATCCTGAAGCCTGAAACCCCGAACCCCAAACCCCTCAGCCCTAATTACAGCCCCTGATCCCTGGACACCCCGGCCCCAACCCTCCAAGTAGCCTTCTTGACGATGTGGTACCCACCTCCGGTATGGAAAGCGTTGAGGTCTGTCACCTGCGCAGCGGATTAGTGCTTATACAAGCATTTACAGGGTCTGGGGTTCAGGGTTCAGCATTTATGGGTTTATGGGTCAAGGGTTAATGTAGGGGCCTTAATAATTCGAATAGGGTTTTGGGGGCTCCTTGTACTTATTATTATATCTACATATAGTACAATATACCCCAAACCCCATTCTAATGATTGAGGCCCCTACATTAGGGGCCACTACCCCCTCACACACACGTTCAAACTGTGAGGCCCCGAAGTCAAAAAAAGACACATGCGGTCACTGGCGGTTTAGGGTTTAGGGTTTAGGGTTAAGGGCACAAACCCCTCACTCGTGGTCAGCCATGAGAGGTCGAGGGACTGGCACTTCGTTTTGAAGGGGTTCCTTTTAAAGCGGTTAGGGGTTTAGTGCTTACTGTAGGGGGTTCCATCAGGGTTACTATTATGTGGTGCGTCGAAGAATCCCCGCAAAGCAACCCTAATCTGATTTTGAAGACCCTTACACAGCATCATGGCCCCAATCCCTTCAAGGAGCCCTACTTATTATATACTTGCACAGTTCCTGAAAGGAGCCCGAGAGGAACTCTATTCTGATCACGAAAGCCCCTATCTACAATAACTCTCCTAAGCCCTAAACCCTTAAACCCTTCGAAGTCTGATTGTGAAGAAGGCAAAACTTCAATACTTGCCCTTATAGAAGCCCTTGGAGAATCCCTTCAAGGAGCCTTCGTCCGACTCCGAAGGCCCTCTATCTTGAGAGAAGCAAAACTTCATGGCTAACTGGCTAACCCTACCTGCACCCCAGTTCACCTACCTTTTTTAAGGACTTCGAGAGGGAAATCATAAAAAGGAGCCCCAGAAGGTAGGTTCTTTAGGGTCCAGGTAAACCCTAAACCGCCCTAAACCCTAAGCCCTACATGCGGCCCAACAAGACCCACCTTTTTAGAGTCTTGTTGTGCTTTTTTATGGTTTCTATAGACAGTTCCTCCAAAAGGTAGGTCTTTGCCGCAGGTAAACCTTAAACCCTGTCGCGTTCCCACCTCAAGAGGACCCCGGCCGTTCAACTTCTGCCTGTGGCATGTGGGTATAATTCTAAAGGAGCACCCCTTTTGGGCAGGGTGCCATACTAACTATTTCGGAGCCTAAGACGGGAGCCTGGTTTAGAGAACTACTGATGAGGAGGCTCTGGGGAGTTTAGGGTTTCAGGATCTCGGGATTTTGGGGTTTAAGCTCTGCAGTGTAGGGATTTAGGGCTTAAAGGTTCGGGTTTCGAGGTTTTTGGTTTGCGGTAGAGGGTTCAAGGGTCTAGGGGTTTTAGATTTTGTTCTAAGATTTTATGGCGAAGGGAGGATGAGAGCGGATACCGTCAAGAACCAACGGACCTTCAGCACCCGCAGTCCCAATATAGTCTCGAAGTGGTAGGAATCTTATCACAATCACTCCTCATCGGGGAGCGATAGTTTAACAACCCCCCATCAATAGAGTCACAAGCAGCTAAAGGCAGGGAAACGAAACGCCGGATCGGTCAGATTGCGGCTTAGGCAAAACAAGCCTGTCTTGGCCCGGGTCTGGGATTGAAATATACTAGAATGAGACAGAGCCCCCAATTCCACCAATCACGAATGCTCCTCGTGCGACCTATATGTGACTGAAGACTTGACATACTGTTTCGTATATGGGTAGTGCTCCAAATTAGGGTCGCTTCTTTGGTCCCCATTAGTACGGCACCCTTGTCACAAGGACCCTCATTTAGAGAACTACCCATATGACTCAAGGTACAAACCACCCTAAACCCTAAACCCTAAACCTTAAACCCTAAACCCTAAACCTCTTGATCTTTGCCTTCGGCGGTTGAAGCACTGCTCAGAACACAGATCTTCCGGCATCCCTGAATTAAACTAGGCTTAGATTCTAGGGTTTAGGGTTCCCCAAAACCACTACACCCTGAACTTGAAGTAGGATCCCAAATCGGATTTAAGGCATACTTCCTCATCAAGGGATGTTGGATGATCTGGGGAAGTCACTTGTGCGTCAGATCTCGGACTCACACCAGTCTAGGGTTGAGGGTTGAATTGACCATAACCCCTCAAACGTGCGATGTTTTTGAACCCGGGCACAATACATAGAAACCACATCAAGTAGCCCAGCTAATTTTAGTGTAGAAAGCATGGTGTGGCGTCCTGAATGACTCCTGACAGAGCCATCTGTGGGATGTTCAAACGTCTTGCGCAGGCGGCTTGTTGCCTTGCAGACGGTGTCTCTTGCCCGGCTAGGCTCAGTGGCATCGAATCGCTCAGATAAAAACAGGAAACCCGTAGTGGGCCACCGCCATTGATCTGTGGATTACACACACCCACGAGCTCCTTGCTGCCTTCACCGCGTTCTTCTGCAAGTGCATGAATGTTCTTCTGATCTCTGGAATCATGGGCTTTCTGAACCCAGCCTGGCCTTTCAAGGGCCCGATGTAAACACTCTTGGCCTGGAGGCTGACGTCTTCAGCACGCAAATTCAGTGCCTCAGAGATCCTGAGGCACAATACATGAGTGAGCAGCAGTGCCACGTAAAGCCAGCAGGTCCCGTGAGCAAGAACATGTGTGCTCATGTGCCAACCACATGCTCCAAAAGGGTCCGGGGAGAGTGACAGCCTGGCCCAAGGGTTTCTTGGTGGCCTCCTTCTTCCGACTTGACTTTGACTTGATCTTGCCGCCCTTGGTCTTCTTGAAGCCAAGGGGGAGAGTTCTGAATCCAGCCACGGTTTAGGGCTGGGGGTTTGGGGTTTAGGGTTAAGTTTTGCCATGCTTCTGTCTGAGGCATTGCAAAAGGAATGTCTTACCGATTACGGTTTAGGGTCTATGGTTTATGTAAGTTTCAGCTTAAGGGTGATGTGGCTGAAATGCGGGATCCTAGGTGCACAAGCCCATCAGCAAGACATGGCGATGGGACTTAGGACATTAGGGTTTACTTGCGAAGGTTCGATGTCCCCAAACAAACTAAACCCTAAACCCT